CCAATCCATGATTCAAATACTAAAGCTCAACATTCCCAAAACCTAACGTTGCACCAAGCACCAATGACATCTAAACACTTGGCAAGTAAAGAGCCAACCACATTAGTAGACAAAGATCCTACAAAGATATTACACCACACACCAGCCATTAATGAGCTTCCTTGCAGCATTTATTATGATAACCCTTCATGTTAAAACAGAATAGCCTCACCATGAATAAGGCAAGATAGAACATAGACTTTCGGCTAATGTGGCAGCCCGGAGTGGACAAGAAAATAATAAGCAAAGGATATAAGCAGGCTCCTAAGACAAAGAAAAGGTTTCTTTGTGAGTTCGACACACGAGCAGCGGTTTGGGAAGCGTAAATTAGTCTAACCTGTCCCATCTAGAGCACGCAGTATCATCATAAAGCATCACGACTAAAACTGAAATTGCTAATGTACAAGTATTTCTCAATATGAGGAGCCATGAGAAAGAGATGATAAATAAAGTTATTATTTAGGAGAAATTTATGATAAAAATCTAGGGAGTAATACAATTAATACACAAGTTTGAGTTTAAGAAGATTGAGATCTAAACAACTGTATCTCTAATCTCATTGAAATTTTTATTGGGGGCAACTTTTTTATTTTTTATTTTATTTTTTTTTTTGACTAAATCTGATATTATATCACCATCTTTGAGTCTCACATATGCGAATATTATATAATATTGTTTATTTTGAGACTTTCTATAGAAATATGAAAAATCAGTATTAAAAAAAAAATCATATGGTAAAAAAATTCACTTTTTTACTTGCTTACATGCATATATGCACCACTCAATTCTTTAGTTGGAAATATTTAGAAAACCATATGATAAACATGTGAGGCTTTGCAGCTGGCTACATTTTTTTTATGTCACACTCATATATCACGCCATAAATACTCATGAATTGCACACATTGGGCCTAAGACACATAAGAAAACTCAAAAACCATGGAAATGAGTTATGAAGGAAAAGGAGATGATAAAGAGAGGCATAAGCATTTTACCAAAAAGAAGCAATGACTGTAGGGTCATTGCAAATAGAAAGAGAAAGTGAGAGCCCATTCAAGGTTAATAGTGATAGAAAATGGCTTTTGAAAAAGAAATGAGAAGGGTTTTGGATCAAATTAGTTTCTAGCCATCGTCACCTCCAACCATCCACCGACAGTGAAAGTCACCCAAATGATGCCTTTTAACTCAAACACTAGCTTGTAGTGGTAGAACCAGTGTAGGCTGAGGAGCAGCGTCTGCTCCCCTCAACTTTTTATAATTACTATTTAGTCTAAGATTTTTAAAATATTATTTAATTTGTTCTCCCTAAAATTATATATATGTTTGTTTGTAAGTCTATCTCTTTTATTTTATTTTTTTCAATAAAACCCTACAATTTATGCATTCTTATTTATTTTGATAACGAAATTACATTAAAAAAAGTAAAATGTCTATGTTAATTAGTCATTTTTTATGCATGAACTATAATAAAGTTCTTTATTTTATCTAGTCATTTTAAAAACTACAATTTTTTTTTAAAAAAAATTTGCATTCTCCAATGAGAAAGGGTATATTTAGCCAAGTAGTTCTCTAATGCTGTGTTTGGTTGGGGAATTTGGGGAGGGATTTGGAAAGAGAAAGAGAAAAGGTGTGTGAAACTATGTGAAATGTAAGTATATTTTTTTCACATTTCACCTACCTTTTCCATTTCCCTTTCCAAATCCCTCCCCAAATCCCTCAACCAAACACAGCATAAATGTAACTAGTCAAAGAAGATGAGAAGTAAAATAGCTAGCATAATGGCTAGCTTGTTGGAAAAGCATAAAAGAAAGCCGACTAACTAAAATTATTAAAATGTCTATTTAACTAGCCTGTTAAAGATGCATTTACTCAATAGCTGTCTTAATTATTGGATCTTGGCTAACTTCTAATAGATTTCTTTTGTATCAAAAGCTCTATTTCTAGTTTGGTTTGCTACAATGGACTTTATTTTGCATTATCTTTGTCAACAACTTTGTATCGCATTGGGTTTATTCTATCTTTTGATGAATATCAATTCTTGTTAAACTTCTTTTATGTGCATTTTATTGACATCTCCAATTTTTATCTTCATATTCATAGCCTTAGAATTCTCTAAACTTGAATGTTTACAAAGGTGTATTTTTCTTATACGTATGATATTAAAATATGATTGATTTTTATGCTTTGTAATTTACCCTAATAGTGCCAGCCAACCAAAATGTTGGCTTCACCACTGCAACCCTACCCTGAAAGGGGTCCTTGTTAGGGTAATGGGACCCTGAGAATTTAGCAATGTGCTCATGAGACCACCCTACCTTGTATATAAACATGCTGGCAATTGCACAGGCTTGGGCCAGCTTTCATTAAGCCCATTTCATGGTTGGAATGATGCACACATACCCTAGTGGGCAATGCACAGCCCCACTGTGGCAACAGAATGGGCAAACTTGGTTGTGGTTTGAACCGACATCGATAGGGACAACTCTAAATGGCACCTTTGGCTAAGCAAAGTTGGGCCATGGAAGGTCTGCTCACTCTGATGGGGGCTCTACTTGAATGACAGACAGGGAAGTAAGAACACTGGCAAGTGGGTATGTGTGTACGAGCGCAAGCGCCGGTACTTAATGGTCATGTGAAATTCACATCATTTGAATGAGAATTTTCACATTATGAAGCATACTAGTATAATGGAATACAATTGAGTAGTGTGTTTTTGGTAGTTATATAGCATTTAGAGCCATGTCAGGCCTGTTAGATTGTGCAATTGGAACAACTAGGAGAGTCCCACCGTGACTAGAAAATTCCCATCACAACCTGTGTCACTCCTTTTAACATTTTTTTCAATCATTAGAAGTAAAATCAATTACCTGAAGTATTGAGGTGGCATAACTCTCTCTTGTGTAAAAGAGATGGTTTTTTGTTGGTGCATACAGCACTCTTGGGTGGCGATTAACGGTTTGTGTTGGAAGAAAACAAGCCCATATACAAGTTTTTGGCTCGGATTCTGAACTTGTTATCAATGTACTTGATTAGAATCATTCTGGATGTGGCTGAAGAGCTCATGGCAAATGGCAATTCAAAAGCAACCACATGTAGATTAGAAAATGATGTTGAAAATTGAAATGCAGACCGAAACCGACCAATGTGGTTAGTTTTGATTGCATCTGGTTTTGTGGACCTCGTGTTAACGACCAATCAAATTGAGAGTTGGTTTTTGTGAGGCCCACAATCAAAAATCACATTGATTGTTTCGATCTGCAACTCAGGTCTCAGGAGCAGAGATCCAGATAGATAGCCATTAGACTTTTGACTCCTTTCCATGGAGATTAATATTACAGTTGGTCTTGGCGGGCTCATCTCATCATACAAGAGAAAGTGGCCACTGCAGAATTCCTTGTTACCCAGAACTTTGGGCCAGCATTTTATGATTCCAGACATCACATGTTTTCAAAATTGTGATCCAAACATGTTTTCAATAGTTGCAGACTGACATGTAAAGTTGTAATCGAATCATGAATAGTTTAAAGCTTGCTTAATACTTAATTGAACTTAATTTTTTTTTGTTAATGAACAAACTTTACTTAAAATTAATTTTCTGAGTATTCAAGCTAAGCTTGAGGAAATCCAAGCTCAACTTGAATAGACTCATGAACATAATTATTAATACATGTTTTATTTCTCTTTCGATATTTATCCAAGTTTTTATGTTTTGATTAATGAAATTTTTCAATACATTTTGATTACAATCTTCAGTTCACTTCCTTTTCTTTAGCTTGTTTATGAAATATCAACTTGACTCAGGCCTTATTTGAATTTCTCAAATATTTGAGAAGTTGAACTCGAACTTGAGCTCAATTCTTCAAGCCCGATTTGAACTCAACTTGAACTCAAGCTAAACTAATTTTCAACGAGCAAAGTTCAAACACTCAAAACTCAACTCGACTTAACCCATTTGCAATCCTACTAACATGCACCAAATATCTATATAGCATGACCCATAGGACCTAACCTAATTTGGGATGACTATCCATCTGAACACTTGGCCTCACTTGCCTCGCACAAGGCCACTAAAGGGGCCATCACATCCGAGTACAACTCCAAATGAGACAGCTACATTAATGAGAAGATTATAAGCAAACTATAAATAACGCTCATATATGTAAATTAGCAATAAAAGAAAAATAAAACAAATAACAAAAATATATTTAATATATTGTGAGTGTTTGAGAAGTTGCTATTTTAATAAACTATTTTAATTTTTGACTATTTTAATAGGTTAAAATTTTTGTATTTGAAACGATATTTTAAAATTTTTTGTAGTTAGATGTGATGTTTGTAAAAAAAAATAATAACAATTATAAATTTAATGTAATATTTTGCCTTAATAACTATTTTAACATATTTTATGTTTATGTAGATTTTAGCTTAAAATAGGCTAAAATAACCCTCGCCAAACACCCCCATTATTAAAAGTAAGTTTAAGTGTCCTTTTCACGAGTTTGAAGAGAAGCATATTAAAGCTGATCTTTGGCCTTAACTTGAGCTTAAACAAAACATTTTTGTTTAGCAAACAAACTTGTAAATCAGTAAAACTCAAACTATTCGTCAAATAAACCCTAATAATTGCTGAATACATACTGGGCCTCAGAGAATTGAAAGTAAGCTTAAAAAAAAACAGTGGAACTAGACTCCAGCATTGTCAAACACAAATGCCCAGCCCAAGGCCTCAGTATTCACCATGATCAATCCCCAAAAAATAGGAGCTCCAGGCAAAAGTATAACATTTCTAACCGACTAGAGGTAACAATCACTGACATGGCAAGTTCTCAGACACAACTCCGGTTTGCTTAAGTTCGCTGTTAAACCATCCTTGAAAAAACGGCCTCTCAGATCATTACCAATAGAACACTTATAAATTATATCAAACAGACTATCCACAAATGGCTCTCACACAGAGAAAGGTGATTCAAGCATTTGGGCTGCAACCATCGTTATCACCTCAAGGCGAGAAGGAAAAAATGTATTTAGCAAACACTTAGAAGTGACTCGAAACATCCATATGGCAGCCTAAAGAATTCTACCACAAAGCACAACCACAACCAGACTTGAAACAATGGCTGATGAGTAACTAAAATGGTTTCTTATCCGCGATACATTCACCTCTCATACACAAATCCTTCGATAGTGTTGAAAATTTCAGAAAATAACTCATATTAACTAAAGGTGCACGAAAAAGGACAGCAAAAAGCCAAAGCCATGAACATAAGCCCTCTTACTCAAATGCATCGTCGTCATCGTCAGGAAGGGGCTGGCTAGCCGCTGCAGCAAGCTCAGCTTCGTGCCTGTAAAGAATACCAAAGGGACATGAAACACCACAAATTGATTACTAACAGCAACAATAAGTGAATTACTCTATGTCCTAGATTAATTCTGGTTAATTGTGCACAACTCACAAATTTTCATTCTTGGACCCTAATGTTCCCCACAAGTTAAAAATTTAAGTACCGTGAACCACCACCACCACCAAAAAAAAAAAAAATTTGAAATTTGTTAAAGAAATTTTTGTTTTTTGTATTTTTTAATCTTTAGTGGATTTTTTTTCATTTTTTAATCAAATTTTTTTTATGTTTAAATGCACCTAATCTAGATGCACCTAAAAAATAAATTTTTTGTGAAGAAATGTTCTTTTTTTTTTTATCTTCAGTGAACTTTTTTCAAAGTTCTTCACAAATATTTATTTGGGCTAATTACATCAATGGTCCTCCTACTTTTCTCAAAGCTTCAGTTTGGTCCTTGTACTTTGAATTTTGTCAATTGGGTCATTATACGTTCCATCTTGTTCCGCTTTGGTCCTTTTTGCTTTACAATCTTGACCCTAAGATTTTATTTATTATATTCTTGCCTCTTAAGTTTTGTTTGTTATATTATAATAATACCTTTTTATTTTATTTTTTATCACACTATTTTTTCATTTTTCTAATGTATTAATTCAAAAGGCTCCTTTGGAGAGTTCCCCTGCAAGGATAAAGACAATTATTTGTGATGTTTTCTTGCTTATTTTCTACAATAGCTAATTGCTTATCTTTATCTAATAGTAGATGTCGAATTTCATGTATAATTTCTAGTTGATTTTTCTGAAGTTCTTTTAATAACTTGATTATAGTATTATTTTTGTTCAATTATTATTTGTAGTGTAGTACTATTATTTAAATTATCTTATTCGACTTCTTCAATATATCTAATGCTCATATATTTACATTGGCAAGGCTGAAAAACCAGGTTCTGATACCAATTCTAAACACACAATTTCACAGAGATTTTATAATTTACATAGGGATTTTATAAATATACTAATAGAGAAATAGGGCCTTATAGTAATCAATAGAACTTCTGGATTTATAGTTTGTTTCTATATTTCCTTCAAGGATTAAGGCTAAGTTTGACAAGTTGCCAAAAAGCCAAAAAATTACTCAAAAAGTTAAAAAATTAAAAAGTTATCACTATTCACCAAAAGTCAAAAATTACGGTTGCACAACTCCCAATCTTAAATTTCCCCTACACACTAATTTATACAATTGTTTAATACACATTTTTCCATAAAAAGTCAAAAAGTTAACCCAAACATTCATATTTTTTTCTTCAATTTTTTAGTCCAAAAAACAAAAAGTGCACTTATTTAGGACACCTCAAACAACCCCTAAATTGATTTAGAATTGAAACTTGAAGGACTTAATTGACACAATTAGAGCTATAGGGACTAAAATGAAACAGGTGTCAAACTTGAAGGACTATGGCTATAATTCACCCTATTTCTTTTGAGTTGCATCTAAATTGGGTGCATCTAAAGATTTTGTTTTTGAAAATAGACTAAAATTTAATAATAATAATAAGAAAGAAAAACAAAAAAAATCTCAAAAAACAAAAAAAAAATCTCAAAAAACAGTTTTCAAATTATAAACCAAACTAGGTTGTTTTTCAAGAATGCATTCTAATTATTTTCTTCTTTTTAATTTTCTGAGTGGCACCTGGAATGGAATACATAAACTCAATAGAAAAACTTTTAGTGAAAGTAACAAATTAACACATTTTATAATGAAAAGCCTTACTGTTGCTGTGGTATACCCTTTGGCGACCCAAAAAAAAAGTTGGTCGCGGAAAGTATATTATTGGCGACCAAAGGCTTTTTTGGTCGCGGAAGATCACCTTTTGGCGACCAAAAAAAAAGTTGGTCACGGAAAGTATACCCTTTGGCGACCAAAAAAAATAAGTTGTTCGCAGAAAATATACTATTGGCGACCAAAGGCTTTTATGGTCGCGGAAGATTACCCTTTGGCGACCAAAAAAAAAAGTTGGTCGCGGAAAGTATGCTATTGGCGACCAAAGGCTTTTTTTGTCGCGGAAGATCACCTTTTGACGACCAAAAAAAAAGTTGGTCGCGGAAAGTATACTATTGGCGACCAGAGGCTTTTTTTGTCGCGAAAGATTACCCTTTGGCGACCAAAAAAAAAAGTTGGTCGCGGAAAGTTATGGCGGGATAAATTTTAAAAAAAATGATACTACAGTAATTACATATTATTTTTCTATTTAGGCATTAAAAGTTTTATAAAATAATATATAACCCAATTTTTATGGGTTATATATTTTTTTTGCCAAATATGAACAAGTATGTCATTGGCAGAGTGGCAGAGTGGATTGGGTGCATGGTGACTCCTTAGTCAGGAGTTCAAGTCCCAGGGAGCACAAAAGAATTATTTTTTTTGGGTCAAGGCGCTGACTTTTGGCGACCAACTTATCTTTGGTCGCTAAAAGTTTACTTTTGGCTAATATGAATTGGACTTTCTGCGACCAAAAAAGTTGGTCGCGAATGGTCACTTTTAGCGACCAAAGGCTTTTTTGGTCGCAGAAAACTATCTGTGACGAGGCTTTAGCGACCAACTCGCGACCAACATATTTTGGTCGCGAAAAGGTTTTAGCGACCAAATATGGTTTCGCGACCAAAATGTTGGTCACGGAAAGTGTTTTTTCTTGTAGTGTTTATTTTGAGTTGCATCTAAATTGGGTGCATCTAAAGATTTTGTTTTTGAAAATAGACTAAAATTTAATAATAATAATAATAATAACAAAAAACAAAAAAAATCTCAAAAAACAGTTTTCAAATTATAAACCAAACTAGGTTGTTTTTCAAGAATGCATTCTAATTACTTTCTTCTTTTTAATTTTCTGAGTGGCACCTGGAATGGAATACATAAACTCAATAGAAAAACTTTTAGTGAAAGTAACAAATTAACCCATTTTATAATGAAAAGCCTTACTGTTGCTGTGCAGCCAAGTCAATCTGCACTTCAGGAGGAGCAAGTGCGGGAGACTCCACAAAATGAAGATTGGGGTCCCTGATATTGATAAAGCAATTATCAAATTTTGGCATAGTCCACACTCCACCAGTATAAATAAACAAAAAATAAAAATAACAAACAATGTGCTATTCCATTACCCTGCAAGCTTCCTGGCAAGGTACAAGAAAGGTTTTTCAAAGTTATAGTTACTCTTAGCAGAGATTTCATAGTACTGCAAATTCTTCTTCCTGTGGAATGTAACCTGCTTTGCCTTGACCTGCCTGTTCTTCACATCAACCTTGTTTCCACAAAGAACAATGGGTATATTCTCACAGACCCTACAATTGCCCCAGAAAACTAAGTCAAAACTTGGACAAGTTGAATACCATAAGGAGTGATCAGCAACACACGCACCCACACACAACATGAAATAATTTTCAAAAACTTGTTAAATCACCTGCACAAATCTCGGTGCCAGGTGGGAACATTCTTGTATGTCAACCGAGCAGTAACATCAAACATGATGACTGCACATTGCCCATGAATGCTGTAAATAGAAACGGAAAATTCCAGAGCAAATTAGAATTGATAATAAAGGTGGCCTCAAATGCCAATTACCACAAAACTGACCTTGATAAAATTCAGAATATTGCAATGGATCTAAATTCTATAGAATAATAATATTAGAGAAATTATATTCACTCTCCCCCATTAGCCTCTCACACTCCCGTTGTGAAAGGCTAAAAGAAAAGTGTGAAAATCATTTCACAAATATTATCTAAAGAAAAAATAATAAATTTTACAAATTACAAGTATTTCCAAGTAAATCAACCCATAGAAAATGATACAGCTCCATTTCTTTTACCAAATTGAAAATCAAAATATAATACAATACACCACAAAAGATCTTCCAAAAGTTATCAGCAAATGCAAATCCTTATAACTAAACATGGAAATATTCTTCTAAATCAAACTATATAGGAAAGCAAGTTATAAATCTTTTTTTGGGTGAATAAAAGTTATCTCTTGTTCTCACTTTCTTCCAGCCACTGTCTCATCGCCATGGAAACTATAGTCCATTCTTCAGTTAAATTCATAATAGCCTCCAAAGATGGATACACCCAAAAAGATTAGCATAGCTTCTATTAAACTAATAAACTAATGACCATTTGAATTTCAAATTTTGCAACATCATATCAAAATATCAAGTAAAATCCATAAGAAAAACACTTTACCAAGCATGACCAACATAAAGTTCCTATGGTTACAGTGCCATTATGCTGTAGTATTCCTATCAAAATGTCAAACAATATTATCATATATATCAACTGATGTATCAAGACGTCAGCCTATTTCGACATGTTGATATCAGTAGTACAATGTTGGCCAACTTTGTCGCAAAATGCTTGAAACTGCTGGTAAAACTTTCCACCAAGAATAATAATCCAACACCAGCATTACCAAATTACTCATTAGATCATACAAAATATTTCTTGTTACCAACAAAATTTGCAAACTAAAGCAACTCCAGCTTTTCTATTCATGTTGATTGGAACATTAGAGTAAGGTATTCTAAATATGAAATTTACTCACTGTGCCTAAAAAAAATTATCCAACGGCAGCATAACCAATGTCACCAAGTAACTATTCATGTAAAAATATAATTAAAATGTGTATATACGTAATATGCACTCCCATTTACTCAATCAAAGAAAGTATCAGTTCCTTATTGAAGTTTTAATCATGTTATAAATCAATCCCACTCCCCCTCTTCCCTACAGCTGGTTCAAACCCATAACTACTCCTACCAAACAGCAGCATAATTGCAGAGTTTAATTGTCTCAACAAAATCACATGTCAGCATTCAAATATTTTATTGTGATGTTGAAAACAACTGCATGAAAGCTATAACAGTCAACATATCTTACCATCAAGCAATTGGATCCAACAACATCATGTTGAATTCTCCTGGTTAAATGAATTTTGAAAAAGACCCGTGCACATATCCATAAGCAACAATTAAGTGAAACAGAAAACTGTCTAGATTTGGAAATAGTAACTACTGATGTGCAAGCACTTACTAGTAACCATCTCTAAGACCACCGAATTTCTCTTGCCCAGCGGTATCCCAGCAATAAAATCGGATTTTCCCACAGTTTGTGAAGAAGTCCAAAGGGTGAACTTCGACACCAATGGTTGCTGTTTAAAACAAAAACAATAATTATCAAATAAACATGCATGCATGGTACTGAAAATAATCTGAACTTAGTTAAAGAAGAAATTATCATGTCACTGTAATTCTTCTCCTCCACATACAAAAAAAATACAATCAAGTAGAAGAAATTAAATTAAACAATCAAACCCAAGAAAGATCAGGTTTTTACTGATACACTTACGTTCGTACTTCTTCTCAAATTCACCAGTGAGATGCCTCTTCACAAAAGTTGTTTTCCCTGCATCATTCAAACATATTAAGCAACAAGAACCAAAATTCATCAAGCAACCTACTGTTCAACTTCGTGCAAGTGAAATAGTTCAAATCAAACCTTTCTTTGAAAAACTAAGGATGTGCTTGGCTTCAATATAGAAAACTGTTCTCTATAGTGTTCTTCCTAACAGGAAAAAAAATAAGCAACACAAACAGAACTCATTTGGCAAACTGTTTTCAGGATTTTTCTTTTCTTTTCTTTTCTTTTCTGAAACACCCATTTTTAGGAAACAATAGTATATTGCTTTCCAAATTCTCAAAAAATGGATTCATAAAAACTAAAAAAACATATGAAAACAAGGGTATGCTTGAAATTCTCATTCTCTTATTTCTTGAAAACATGAATAACAAAAATGACAAATGAAAACAAAAACAGTGAAAACGAAACCAAACAATCCCTAAACATACTTTTGGATTCACTTTAGCTCTGAGGGAAAAAAATGAGCTAAAGAATCACAACACGCTCATCTTTCCTCAGTGCCAAACAATTCTTATATCCCCAAGCTTGACAGAGATTTAAAGAAATAATTTTTTCGATATTACAGAACCAAAAAAAAATTCAAATTAAAAGAATTTTAAAAAGTAAAAATTAAAATTTAATACCAGTTCTAACATCACCAACAATGACGAGCTTGAAGCTCGGGTAATCAACAGTCTGTTGGTTTGGCAAAGCCTACAAGCACGAAAAACTACAAAATCAGCGGCTCAAATATAAACTCAGAACTTGATTCTTAATAAAAATCTTCAAATGATTTTTAATTTTTTTTAAAGTGTAATTTTTTACATGAAAATGAACAGATCATGATGTATTGAGAGCAGGAATTTTGACATTTGTTAAATTTTAGCAATAGCACAATGAATAGCAATTGTCGAAAATGCTTTCACATTTGTTGATGTATATATGGTTTATTTTTATTTTTATGACAAACTAATTTTAATTTTTCTCAAAAAAATCGAAAATAAATTTTCAAAACACAAATTTGTATTTTTTTTGTCATTTTATATACAGATATGCCAGACTCAAAAAAATTATATATAATATTTATATGGGTATGAGTCTAGACTCATATAACTATTGTATAAAATTTTTAAGATGTTTTTCAAAAATTTCTAATATTGCTCTTTTATATAATATAAATAATGAGAAGTACTGAAAATAAAAATAAAATTACTAATAATTTTAAAATCAAAACAATTAAAATTACTTAGTAGAAAGAAAAATATTGAATGGCCAATTAAACCAATCAAAATAGATTTAAAAAATGAAAAATTACCCAAAAATCTCATTTGGGAAAATGTTGCTCCATTTAGTCTTAGAAATTTTCTTTCAAATCAATTAGTCCTTTTTATTTATGGAATATTATGGAGTTTACTTGTTTACCGTTAAGTGTGATTTTGGTTGTGATTTTTTCCCAATGTTTGGATGAGTTGGTTATGGTATGGTGTTAATTTTTCAAATTTTGGTGGAGGATTGCGTAGAGTGATTTGTGGGGTTAGTGATGTTTAGCCATTTGATGTGGGGAGCTGATGTGGAATTGTGATGTTGTTGTTGGCTGTTATTTTTTATTTTTTTTATTTTTTGACTGATATTTGGATGAGTTTATTAAGGTATGATGTAATGTGTCTAATTTTTATTGTTCGGGTTGCGTAAAGTGATTTTTGGGGTTGATGTTATTGCTTTCATACCACACTACAAGTAGAATACTTCCCAATGTGGATGTGAATATAATCACACACAGCTAAACATGAACGTAGTATACACTTCGGATTAATAGTAAATGGACAATAAAAAAAATCACCAACACATTAACACTATCACCCACACACAACCCACTAAATACATGAACATACGTGGTGTAAATGTTATTGCAAAACCCAATAACAGTAATGATAGAAATCCTCACAAAACACAACCCCCAAAATGATCTGAACCATTCATGTTACTATCAGACACAACTCCCAAAAAAAATTCAAACACATCAATGGCTAATACATTAGTGGGGATGGGAGTCCTCTTTTGTGGGGGGTCCCAAACATTTTCCAACCCACTAAATACATGAACACTAATTCCATTTTGTGGTGTCATGTGTTTAGTGGGTCATGAGTGTTCCATATGTGGTACGATGTTACTGCCAACTTTTACTAATAGCTACATTGAGCAAATGTTGTTACAAAATATTTTTATAAATCAAACATTATACGATTGTAATCATATTGCATGGATATCATACATTGCAACAGTGTGACACCTACCAACTGTACAACATATATACGCTACTTTCAAACGTTCAACTCAACTAACTGTACTAATATTCTACAAGCCTAAGGTAAATAATTTCGTCACCTATCCAACGATTGTTGCCTACACGTCACATGACCCATACGACATTGCAATTACGCATACGCAATTTCGGCAACATCAAAATACGCCACTATCACCCCCTCTCCATGCACCCCACTTTCATACCACAGTCACATTCAAAACACACATACAAAATGGAAATGCAAATCACAATATTAACAACATAATTACGTTAGCAGTCGTACCGACCAAATTGGAATGTGTAGACGTCCCTGAACGTCCCGGAAAAAATCTTGTTTTGTTCATTTGGGCTTACTACAGTTCAGACTCAAATGTCACGGTTCTTAATCTGATCTCACAAAGTGCAATGCAAGACTGATAAATCACTAAAGAGTCCAAATCTGGCAAATCGTTTTAGAAAACTGATTTTTAATAAAGAAGTGCCAAACATGGACTGCTCTGCCAGATACAGAGTCGCCATCTAAATATTTTATTTTTGAAAAAATTTAGGAAACCCTAACTTATTGCCTAAGGCCACGTGTTCGTCATCACCAAAGTTGCCTCGGCTCGGGAAGTTAGGTACGATTGGGAAGGTCAGCTATGAGCACCCCTACTCGCCCGATCAAAGATCGGCCACTACGAAACATGATATCTCATTTTTGAAAGCACATACGTTCTTATTCCGGTTAATTAGCTAGAATTACTAGGTGATGCGCACAACACACAAGTATAGACTAGATCGCCTAATTTAGGACAAAGCATTGCATATCCGTTTGTTTGGAAGGCAGTTTGAAGTTTGCTACTCGCAAGTAGGCTAAATCACGGATTTCAATGAATTATCCCAATTCAAGCAACCCAACCTTCACCCAAAGGCATTCAGGCAGTTATATCACATAAGCAATTAGCATCATGGCAAGCATGCTGTCATGCTAACACTTACACATATGCAGGATACTAAAGTATAAACACTCACAGTGTACTCCAAGCCAAAACAAGAAACTAGTTGGAAATCATGCATGATCCTAGTTCATGTTAAGATGGCTAATGCAACACATGCAAAATGCAATTAGAATAGGCTCAGCTAACCTAAGAATGGCATGTGAAATGCGACAACTCGATACACGTATTCAAGTTGGAATTGAAATACTATGCAATTAGTATGATGCGCCGAGCCCGATGCGTGCAATACGAATAAATGTATGCAAACATGCTAATATAAGTATGCTAATTGAAACGTGACCTAAAACTAACCATTGAAAGCAGGTAAGTAAAAGGGAGAAAGACGTGGGGTTGGAAGACATTCACACACGCACGCACACTTATTACAAAATTAACCCTCTCGACGAAGGGTCCGAATAAATAATACAAACCAAAAGATTAATCAACTATCCTAGCTAATTAATTATTACAAACCCTTAATTAATTAACAAATTAATTACAAAAGGAGGCTGCCGCAGCTCCACCTCGGAATGATTGAATGATGCATGCTTGATCGCCTCGCTCGGAAACCCGTTGCCATGCCATATGTTGCCTCTGTTTGCACTGTTTTGCTACTCTGAAAACTGCACAAGTCCCAAGGATGCTTCTGAACCACTCCCTAAGCACTGTGAGATGTCACCGGCCAAAAGATAGGACCACCGGCCATTGGAAAATTTGTAAGGCTCTCGGCCAGATTTTGGTAGCTAGCCGGCACTGAAGATGGCCGACTGGCCATATCTTCCTGCAGAATTATGTTTTTACTGCAGCAGAGGACAGACAGTACATGGCAAGGTGTTTACAAGATAATGTGTGCACAACCACCCTCCCTATCATGATATAAACTCAAGGGAGTATGGCTCTCGACCCTCGAACCACCAATCGCGTATTTTAATGCATGATGGCCAAAGGTGCCAAGTGTGCAAATCAATGTGGAATAAATGCAACAAAGCATATGAATGCCTAGAACTCTATCATGCTTGATCAAGAGCGCCGGCAACCGAGGGTTGAGGCATGTTTCGTCACATCAAGTACGAAACGTACCTTGGCCCTCATGTTTGGTTTGACACCCCAAACCAAACACAATGCAATGCATGCAATCAAGTACAATGCAACATAGGAATGTAAGGCAATGTAACATGAGCATGCCAAGTGCAATGTGATGCAACCTAACATGCAAACCGCATGGCAATGCAACAAGTATGCAATACTACAATGCAACCTAGATATGGAAATACACGAAGTGATAGGCATGCAACAATGACACCAACCATAAGGATGCAACAACATGCAACGCGGTAAGCATACAACAATACACAAATGCATGATCCATGGACTTACACTAAAGATGGATAGACCTCAGCCGTACCAAAAACAGTAGCCAAAACACCCAAATCAAGGTACTAAAAAGGGAGTCATGCATGCACATACATGGATCCGTAAGCTAGGCAACGATGCACAATCCTCAACCATGAGCAAAATGGGATAAACATGAAAACATGACAATGCAATGAGCTCTGAAATCATGTGAAGAATGATGTCAAATCATATACACAAGTGAAGCATAGCTTGCTAATGGGCTCAATGCCCAAAGCTAGTCAAGGGGCTCTCACCATGGCCATATCAACCAAGCCCCAAAGGGCCAAAGTGACCTAAGATAGTCCTAGGGCAAGCCAAAACAAGGCTAGAACATGCATGGAATGAGGCCAAAACATGCTAAAAAGATGGGCACAAACAAGGGGCATGCAAGGCTACAAATGGA